TTTTCACTTAACCAGCTTGTTTTCCTACTTACTAGGAACCCAGTAAGAAAAAATATTTATTGCAGTGGGCCATGTTTTCATGGCCCAGATTCCAAAAAGTATAACAACATACTGTGAAGACTGCCTCCAAGTTTTATGCTGAATCTAAAACCTCCTGTTCAGCATTTGATACACAGTACAAGCATATCAACTGACAGTCTGCAGGTGTCTATAAAGGATTGGAAACACATATTTGGAAATAAAAATCAGACCTTCACTGCAGTCAGGGTTGGTGTCTCTGTATGTGGTAACCTCAGAAATGGCTCTATGATCCTGTAAAGATGTATGGTCTGAAGAAGTGTGGTAGGGGACAGTGAAACCAAGGTATTAACTTAATAACAAAAGACAACTCCTATAAACTTAAACAACCTGGCTCTAAATTACTACAGAAATTTATGTTGATAACATTCAAAGGTAACTTGCTATCAGGAAAAAGACCTGCAACTCAGCATGTTTGGAGATAAATGTTTTTGTGGCTGTCTTTTGGTATGTGGGGGGACATCTGTGAATGATGTGTGATGCAATGGGGGAACTGAGTGATCACAGACATCAAGGGTTTTAGAGAAATATGCATGTTGCAGTCTCTCCCTACAGTTCTGCCCTAAGGTTCATTTAGTGGTACCCTGCTACACATCACCCCCGAAAGAGTATCTGCCCCTGGCTTAACTTTTTAGGGGACATCTATTTTTGACTACTTACATTTTTTCCACATGACTCAATAGCAGACTATCTGACAGCTCAGTTGTATCACCATGTTCTGCAAATCTTAGCCCTTTCTTTTTACTACAAGTGGGTAGCCCCTAAAGGTCACTTTTTCTTCATATTTTCTAGGGAATGTTTCTCCATTTTCAGCAAAGCAACAAAAGGAAAAAGGTAACTGGGTCTCTCCTCTCCTAGCTTGTTCTGCAGCATGCACATGAAAGCAAAGGGTCTATAAATATGTATAGGAGGCAGGAGGGAAGCCTACTACGTGTGTGGGTCCTGAGAACACAAACAGAATACACACTGGTAGATCCAAACCCACCGTGGAAAGAGTGTTGATGGGAAGGAGTGATTTCAAGGCATCCATGACTAAAAGGGTCTTATGGAAGTCTTTTGGCCCTGGCTATATCACAGTACCTACATATCTTACGCACCTCCTAGTCTGGGGAAAAAGCCCCAGAAAAGATATAATGCTGATTCTAGCAGCGAGCTTTTCTGCTGAAATATTCAGCAATATCTTCAGTTAGGATGGTAATCTACCACAGTGCAATTGTTCTTGGCTCATATGTATCTCTGATTCAACACACCTAGGTCTATAGAGCCCCAGTTGTGTGTATTTGGGGTTCAGGTGTTGAAACTCAAATGACCCAGTCTGTAATTCAGCTAGAATGACTTTATTAAATCCAAAGGCCAAAAACAACTGTACAGTTACTTTAAACAAATGCTTGAAAATACACAGAATACTAACTATACATTGGGTAGCAATGTTATAATACAGTTATTAGCGACTATACTCACACCACACAGTAATTACATTTACGAGCATTTGATCTGGGCTTACACCTGGGCTGGTGAGGACAATGCTAGCTGTCCCATGCTGGATGGCTCCAGCAGATCAGCTCACACTAGTAAATTCCTAGCAAACCTCAAAAGAACCCCTCTCTTGCTCCATTTTATCCCCTAAATTTCTTATAACAACACCACCTTTGAAGTTCTAGAAACTGGTCAGAACCACCCAGAGCTTCACACAGACTTATCTTGTCATTTCTTACACAAAACCTTTTTAAAATTCTTTGTCTATTCCTGGTAGGCTTCTGTGGACCTCCTGGACACAATCTCCTTGACACCTCCTTGGCCTACCAATCTCTTTCCTGCTGTTCAACTACCTTTCCTCTGACATTAGCACATCTGTGGTTCATCGCACTTCATCCTGCCAACATTAACATTTTGACTATAAGCGTGTTTGCCCTGGGGTCTTTCCAAGCATGGATTTCTTAAATTGTCCTGTTTGCACCCAATATAATAAAACATCTAATCCACCTTTTGCATTATTCTACTGCATTTCCTAACTCCTACAAGAGGTGAAAAGGGAAAAGAGAACATGCATCATATGCAATTGCATGCAGTCACATCCATTACTTCCCCTTCTTTCCAAGGTAATATCTTGGTAATATCTTTCCAAGTTGTACTCATTTTTTATTCCCCACACAATATTGAATGAGTGGAACATTGGTCCTAAGGGTGATAAAATCAGCCTTACTGCATCACACTGTCTCTGCAAATTACAGGCATCATAGTCAGCATCCAGATGCAAAGGCAAGTTCTGTTTTTATCATTATGAAGCTTGTTGGAGCTTGACCACTTACTTGTTTTTGAAAATGTGAACATTTAAGGGTAAAGCAAAGACGCTTCCCCTCAGACTTCACTGTAAAAAGGAAGTGCATCTACTGACTATTCCATTACTTGGATGGCCGCACAGTAAATTACTGCACACACTCCAATGCAGTTTACCATTTGAAAGAATTAATTAAAGTTCACTTTCTCTCACTAAAGACTGAAACATATATTTAGAAATGAGATCATATATTTGTGGCGGTCATGGTTTATATGTGTGTGTGTGTGTGTGTGTGGTGTAGCTTCAAAAATTGCTCTGTGATCTTACAGCATGCTATGGTGTATCTCCTGAAATTATATGTCTGTGCACAGGAAGAGTTGTTTTGAGTTACATTCTTTCCTCATTTACATCCCTGCCGTCCCCCTGAATTTGGTGGGAGTGATGCATGCTTGTGTGTGGAGACGAACCCTATGTAATATTTATTTGCATCTCACAAGCTGTTCCAAGTTCTATTATTTTAGAACTAGATATATTTCAATCACTATTTTAGAAGCGTGGTTATTTAAAAAAAATAAATTGACTGTGTCATTAGGTCTGTCTGAACTGAGGATGTGGCGTTGCCTTCCACATTGCCACTGCCTGCTGGGTGGACATTAGCTTCTATTTTATTACTTTCCTTTTGATAATTCACTTTATCTGATGGTGTTAATTACCCCAGGTAAAGGGAATCATGGTGTTCTCCAGTCATTTGAAATCGATGGACACGTAGCCAGGCGGTCTGCTGAAACTCACTTATCAAATGGGTCTGTGACTCACCATAGAAACATTGCAACCAATGGCACCAGCAGGCTGAA